CTCTTTATTCTCTCGATGTAGGATGAAGAAGAGATGCAGAACAAGGTTAGTAAAAGCTACTATTACAGGCTATTGTTTAACATTCTAGATTTTTTACTTTAACACAACACTTTTGAGTCGTGTGATATTCACACATCCAAGTACTTTTTAATCTTTTATTGCGTTTGATTAATGTCAGTGTTGCATTTGGAGAGGCAGGGTAGATGTTTTTTAGGCTATATTTTTGGAGGGAAAAGCTTGTGTTCATGTTCGCATTGGTAGTTGCACTGGCTTTAGCGGCTCTAACTTAACTTTTCCATGTCATTCATCTGATGATGGACGTCTCATGATATTTATTTTAGCACAACTGGGATGTAGGTTATTGATTCCCGTGATCTTGCTTATAAATTACGATTCAGCCGTTAGCCTACCGTCCGTGATCACGCAAACACCCGTGGACCGTTCAGGATTGCAATCACGACAACCAACGTAAAATATAAATAACGCTGTGCATGTACAAATGATTTAGGGGGGAAATAGCCTCTCCCATAACGTAGCAATGACTATATTTACAGTAATATTCGGTAAATTTTAACTTCATAAAATGAAACCGGAGAGATAGTTATTTTTTTTTTTTATTATTATAGAGATGTAATTTTGACTGTGTAGTCATTTTTTTTTTAAATTTTTTTTTCTTCTTCTATTTGAATGTACTTTATTTTGAAGAGTGCTATGGACCATTTTGTATGCCCCGAATAAAGATATGACGATGATGAGTTAATGAGTGAATTATTTGTTCCTAAATACGATCCATAACTGTTGGGATTCAATAGCGTGCCGAAGTTGCGACGTCACTCTGTAGGCTAAAACGCGGAAGTGAGTTAGCATTTTAGCATTACGGTTCCTTCACTCTATGGGATTTTTGAATGGGTTTTTGCTAAATCGCCTGAAATAAGGTCTGTGGTGAACAGAGCCTCTAAATATTTTCACGTTTTGATCTATGACATAGAACACACAGTTATAACCTGCTTGTGTTTTTTAAACGTTATTGTGTCTGATTGTGGTTTTTAAAATCTTTAATCTATAGGCTTCAGAATGTATACATTTTGGATTAACTTGTAAAGATTATCTTGCTAGTGTAAACGTGTAAGGGTCACAACCCTTTGTTAAACACAGATCTTATTTTTTGCGATTTTCCAAAAGTCTACGGGGAAAAATGCATTGCTTTGTTTTCGGTCGAGGGAACCCATGCGCCGCTAGCTTCCGAGTCGTCCTACAAAGTGACGTCATCACTTCGGCACTCTATACAGTATGGCTAATGTACCCCTTCATCCTACCCTAATCATAGACTTAACCATTCATCAGAAAACACACACAAATACATTTATACAATTTCAATCACACATAATAACTAACCTAACCCCCCCCCACCCCCCCCCCCCACACACACACACACATTTAAATATAATATACTTTTGTGTAGTTTAATGTAAAATGCGTAGTATTGCTGTCCTGTGAAGGAAAAAGTAGACAGTTGAAGAGATTTCCACGACGCATGCGCGAGAACTACGATCTCCTCTTACTTCAGTTCAGTTCTCGCGCATGCGTCGTGGAAATCTCTTCAACTCTCGTCTCAGGCCAACAAGGAAGAAAAGGAATAGTCGAATAAAGTCGTTATTTTTCTTTTATTTCCGCACAAAAAGTATTCTCGTCGCTTGATAAACTTATAATTGAGCTGCTGTAGGCACATGGAATATTTGCATGTGGTGAGTAATTAATGACTTAATTTTCATTTTTAACCCTTTAATGTGCAGACTGATCTCATGAAGTAGCGTGTGTATGACACGCCAATTCGTATTTCCATTTTTGGCATGCTATCAAGACGCATAATCGCCTTTCAGCGTGTTTATAAACGCCGTTGACTTAACGTTATATAAATATATGACTTACCTCAACCCCGTCCCTAAACCTAACCGTCACTGGGGTTAATGGCATTTATGACTGTTCCCTTACCATCCTAGGAAAGAAAAACATCGCTCCCCAGATGTAGATCTACATTTCGCTTCGTTTTGCTCGGACATTTGACGGCGTGTACAGTCGTTAATGGCGTAGACAAACACGCATACATGCAGATAGCTCAAAATGCGTCAAAATAACACGCCACTTGACTCGCAATTTGTATGTTTACGCAAAAGTCATGTTGTAATGTGAGTCTACAGTCAAAAATGCACAGTCAAAGAATTTGCAATCATATTATATATTCATAGGTGTTTTTATTGAGCTTTTTGTTTTTGCATACATTTACTTAATAAAAATACGTTTTAAGCTGCTGTAAATTTCAGAAACATATGAGAGAATGTATTTTTAATGTTAGAAAGTTGTTAGCAAGAGCTCCAAGTACAATGACAATCGTCTTTGCAAAGTCATACCTCAGTATTAATTGCAATCTAGCTTTTCTTTTCACAGTTTTTGCAACATTTAGCCCAGTTTTTTTTATGATCCGTATAACACCACAGGTAATTTTCTTGGTAGTAGCCACAGGGGTGATCGGACCTGCAGGTTTGGCCCGTCACAGTAGAGAAGCAGTCGTCGGAAGTACAGCATTCATCGTAGTTGCCTTTCTCATCCGTGTAGCACCACATATAATAAGAAGCATACTTGGCACAGGCAATCACAATGGACTTTGCGAAGTCCTGCTTTAGTAATAATAGTAATACAAATGTTAAAGCAATAAACCTGTGCAACACTTATCCCAACTGCCATCAGTGGTTTTGCACCACAGGTAACTTTCACCATGTTTGGCACAGAGGTGATCAGGCTTGCAGGTTTTGCCACTCACAGTGGAGTAGGGGTCATCAGAAGTACAGCACTGGTCATTACTGCCTTCAGCATCAGTATAGCACCACTGATAGCTTTTACCATATTTGGCACAGGCGTGGCCCCCGCGGCAGCGCCTCCCGTTTGCAGTTTTACTTCTCCAGAGCGGAGGACTGCAGAAATCCCAGCTGCCGGAGACCTTGTAACACCAGTAGTAGCCGTAGCCGTATGTGCCGCAGGGGTGATCGTCCCGGCACCTCTCTCCGTTCACCGTGATGAGTGAGTACGGCGGTGAGCACGAGATCTGTGCGTTCCCTGAGTTGCACCAGTAGCCCTTGAGTTTGTCCTGGTACAGGCAGGGGGAGGAGCAGCAGGGCTTGGTTTGTCCTCCCGAGTTGCATTGACACGTGTCAGCAGATTCTGAGACGCTCGAGCACTGCGATCCATCCGCTGCCGTCATCTGCCTCTCTGGGACCAGCAGGCACTCCACAGCGTCCGAGCCCTCGGACACCTCCCTCTTCCTGAGCTCATCATGCCCGCTTTTCATTTCTTGTGGTATGGCATTAGTTATGAGACAAGCACTTCCAGCAAAACCCTTCAGATCCTCTGCCATTTCATAGTACGTGTCCATGCTGCCAGAGGCTAATTTGACCGTCATCTCTTTCACCTTAAATCTCTTCTCAGTCGATTGGCTGGTAGTGCCGGTGGCCCTTTTCAACGCATTAAACTTGATCTGCGCATCTTTGGTCATCTGGACTCCTTGGTTCTCTGGCAGATTAATTAATTTCTTAAATGCGTCCTGGACCTTGCTTAGTTTGTTATTGTCATCAAAACAATCGTCCTCAAAAATCGTAATTGAGCGTTGTGTATCTGAGAGCTCACCATAGAGCGTGCTGAGCCGATAGTTCAGGTTCGAGGCTCTCATCAGGCTAACGCCAGGCTCTTCTGGCTGGTTTTGCCCGATATAGCCGAAGGAGAAAGACTTATCATCGTTGTCGTGTTTATAGCAGACAGCCGTCCAGATGTGAGAGGGCACCGTCACCCTTTCATAGTCTTCTTCGGAGATTTCCTTCTGTGGTATCCGTAGATTTGCATCAGGTACCGTACCTGTGACGATGTAGACTTTTGCAGAATGACCGTCAGTTTGAAGCATTTCTCCTAAAAAACTCCTCAATGTCTTCTCCCACTTTGCCCAGTGGTTGCGGTTGAAGCACGGGTCCATGGGTGCGGCGTTGGTCAGTGTAAACGTCGCTGTACGGCCGTCTCTGCATTGGAAGCTGCTGGGGTTCAGGTGTCCACGGTCGTATCCCGTGTCGCTGTAGTCGTCGCTGGTGGCTTGATTTGCTTTATAAGCTTTTTTATTTTTTTCAGTCTCAGGAACCATATATATTTCCTTTTTAGGGTCGGATATCTGCAGGGGAAATATTATGTTAGATGGTTAGTTTGTTGTTTTATTATTAGTTTTTGTTTATCTCAATATTAATCGATTATCATTTTTACGAACCAATATCGATTCTTAAATCTCAAGAATCGATTAGTCATCCTGTTTCATTTGAATGGATGGGACGTTGTCTCGCGGCTGCGCGCATCCAAAAAAAAAAAAAAATCTTTGTCCTTTGTCACTATTGATATGAAACAAAGTCTCAATTTTCAAATTACGTCCATTTTCTTTAGAAACTCAAAAACATAAATAGCGTTTTGTCGCTGTGGCGTGAGATCGCTCTGGAGAAGGTTAATAATACCAGTCACAGCGCCAAATAAACATGAATGAGCATCTGAAAGTGTGTTAAAGATAGAGTACAACTTATCCAAATCCGTATTATGTCACATTGATTCGCTCAATCAGCGTTTCAACCGTGGAAAGACGTCAATTAAACAGCGTGTAATCAATGTGTCGTCATATTTACCATATGCATTATAATCTTAATGTTCAATATTTAATGCATATTTGAATAAATCTGGCAGGTTTTTATGACAGCCACCATTTAAATGTTTATATTTCATACAATCTTCCTATTATAAAAATAAATAAAAGTGTAATTTAAGTGTTTGTATAGCTACAAAAGTTAATTATTACCTTCATATTAGGCTAATGAAGCCCAACTAGACTCCCATAGTTTACAGCATTAGTTCAGAGATTTGATTCGCTTGTGAAAATTTGCCATTTATTGTAACTGATATCATAATAATCAATATTGAATTGAATCAAAATCAAATTGAATTGCAAGCTTGTGAATCGAAATCGAATTGTGAAATTTGTGTCAATACCCAGCCCTACTTTACATGTATGGTTTCATTAGTTAATATTAGTTGACTACATTAGTTACATTAACTAATAAATAGGCTATATATTTCTAAAACTAATTAGTATAAGAATGTAAAAAAGTTTTGGAATAAAGCATCTGCCAAATGCATCAATGAACAGCCTTTATTCATTCTTTATTAATGTCGACTTTATGCATTCATTTATTAATGTTATTTGAACATTTACTAATACATTATTCAAAACAAAACATTAGTGTTAACGTTATGAATACGGTAACATGGTTAAGTTAATACCGTATATTAACTGATGAGATATTGTAAAGTGTTACCGTTTTTGTTTGTTTGTTTGTTTATCAAATGTGTGGAAAATTCTTACTTTCAATAAAGTCTCTCAGTGGACATATTTAATGTTTATAGTACAGTAAAAGAACATTCCATAAAGCACCATCCATCTAATGTATTTAATGACAAAACAGAATGAAATGCAGAGCTTCAACTGCTAATTAAAAATGTAGTTATACCTGTGGCTCTAAATACCATCTGTTGGGTCTTCCACTGTCGCTGGCGCAGGCAGGGTTAAACGTGTAGGCGCTGTAGAGAGGGATCCTGTGAGGAACAGAGTACAGCGTAGCGAAATAATAAATTTGGCTTGATGTCCACTGACAGATTTTCTTGGCATTCTGATCCATTCCGGTTGGTTCTTTGTTTTTGTAGAAAAACTCTGTACAATCAAACTCCGATTCAGCTCCATTTGCTTCTTCGGCCACTTTTGCCTGAGCACTGAACGCTCTCAGCACAACACAGGTGAGCAGACCCAGAACAAACATGGTTTAACGCTGCGCTCGTGTTGTAGACACACACCTGAAGCACAGCGGCTTTAAGGACGGTCAGAGGAGCTGTTGTGGGTGTGACTGAAAAATGAGGACATTTGCTTTATCATGCGTATGGGACTCATTTCAGAGACGTCACAGGTACAGAAATCTTGATTTAAAATAACACAAATAGAGCATTCATACTACTGATGCAAGTCCATGAGTAGCAATTCTTTGACAGTCCAATATAAATATTTAAACGGCTTCAACTGGCTCCTTAATAAGAATAAGGTCCCAAATAAGAATTTCATACAATGCTTGAACTAATAATGAAATTAATCTTTGTTAACATTAGTTTGTTCATCTTAGTTCACAGTGCAACTAACGGTAACAGATAAAACTTTTGATAATGTTTTAGTATAAACTAAAATTAACAAATGCTGTAGAAAAATAGTTTATTCTTAGTTCATGATAACTAATCTAGTTCACTAATGTTAACTAATGAACCCTAAGTGTGTGTCACCATGGTTTGGATGAACACTCATTGATTTACTGAACTGAACTGATAAAGACGAAACTTGCTTAGTTGGTTAACCATGCTTTTGGAAACACAGCCCAGCCCAGCTTGCGAAGAAAACAATTGAATATTACTAGATCAGCAGCCTCACAAAAATGCAGGCTTTTTAAAACTGCAATCTACCTTACCAACATAAATGAAATGTCCTCCTCCTGCTTTGAACCATTGAGACTGTGCCCCCATTATGCTAGTTTAAAGTCTACTAATGGTGTTTTGGAGTCGCATACAACAGGTTTAAATGCATCAAACTATTTAATTTTCCCATAATATACATTTGCACATCACCACACTTTTAAACGATTCATTTCATTGGCTACTTTTGCAAAACCATAACGTTATACACGCTGCACTTTCAGATTTAAAACTTTGCTGGATGTATTCATTCAATTACAGCCATGTTACACACTAAATGAAAGGTCATTTTCAAAAACCCATAATAAGATTTTTATCTAGACACATAACTATTGTGTGGAAAATAGTTGTGTAACGGTTACCAGCTGGAGTGCCCTATTGAGCCACCAGAGGGCACTCCAGATAAGACTATGTTTCACACAAACTACATTTCCCAGAACTCACTGCCTGGACTCATCATCACTGATCACATTCACCTGTACCTCATTCACTGATTGCATTCACCTGTGTCTCCTCCTGTTAGTGTGTCTATATATACCTTGTGTTCACGTTCAGTGTTTGCGAAGTCTTGTTGTACTGTGTGTCTGCATTTCTGAGCGTTTTCCGTGTTTGTTTTCTGGTTTTTGACTTTGAATTGTTTTTGGATTTTGATTATTGCTGCCTGCCCTGACCTCTGCCTGGTTCTTGGATTCCCACTGTGTATTCTCCTTTGTCCTGTCTGCTGATTCTCGACCCTGCCTGTACGACTATTCTTAAATTAAAGCTGCATTTGGATCTTCATCTCCAAGTCTCGGAGCAGTTCATAACAAGTTGTTCGTAAGATCATTTTATTCCCATTTTTACGCATACTGTGAAGCACAGATTGTTATGGGTTGCACTTTACCTATTCGTTCATGATCTGTTGTTTATAGGGATCGACCGATATGGATTTTTTAGTGCTGCCTGATACCGATTTTTGTTTCCCCATCAGCCTTAGCCGATTTTCTTGAGACGATACATTTTTTGTCAATAATGACATGATGTTAACAAATTTTACAGGTCTCGATTTAATAAAAGTAACAATTATTTAACTTAAAGCAATATTTACCAAATATTAAAAACATGAGGTAGAACAAAAAAAGGTTCAGTGCTGAAAATAAATATTTAAGCATAAATTAAATAATTACACTATTGCACACAGTAGCAAGCAGCATAATAAAGTGCACATTGTACTTCATTTTAAAAGAAACGAACTATGTACTGCCATGGTTTCATTTTTTCAACAAAAAATAAAATGAGCATGTCTAGTCTGTAATATCACTGCGATGGCGAGGGAGACACGTCCAAACCTCAGCCAGGTGAGCGCTGAATAAATCTCCCACAAAAAGCGCAGAACAACGTTGGCATTACTTAATCCCATGACCAGAGTTCGTTACCGTATGCATACTAGGGCTGCTGAAATTGCTCAAATGGCGTTTGCATATTCCCTCTAAAAAACATATTCGAACATCCCGTTGCGCATTATGTCAATATCAGGACACAGTACTACAAAGAGACATAACTACTAGTGTTAGGTAGTTTATTTGAGTTAAACATATTCACGTATTAAAAAGCAAGTAAATCAACGAATGGTCAAGACCGCAGAGCTCACTCTGTCTCGCCCGAACCCACAGACTCTCTCTCTCTCTCCAGACTGATCTCATGAAGTAGCGTGTGTTTGCCACGCCAATTCGTATTTCCATTTTTGGCGTGCTATCAAGACGCATAATCGCCTTTCAGCGTGTTTATGAACGCCGTTGACTTAACGTTATATAAATATATGACTTACCTCAACCCCGTCTGTAAACCTAACCGTCACTGGGGTTAATGGCATTTATGACTGGAGATTTGACGGCGTGTTCAGACACGCGGAATGACGCGGACGTTAATGGCGTAGACACACACGCAGATAGTTCAAAATGCGTAGAGATAACACGCCACCTGACTTGAAAGTGGCGTGTATGTTTACGCAAAAGTCATGATGTCATGTTTAGGGTTGGGTATCGTTTGAATTTGAACGATTCTGATTCCGATTCCTTGTTTCGATTCCGATTCCTAACGATTCTCGATTCCGATTCTTTTAAGAGGCAGGGTCAAAAAAGTTTAGCTAACCTTGCTAACCAACGGCCTTTCTGAAGGAAATACTCCTTCTGTCACAAATACTTGTCACAAATTTAGCATTTTGCAGAGGTTTCGTTAATTTTTAGAAAAGTGAAGCCACACTTTGGACTACTCAAGCTACTCATGTTCGACTCGCGCGGTTATGCCAACACTTCCGGTAGACGCTTCTTCGTTGGTGTTGTTCAGCGGTTTCTTCTTCCGCTCGGCGGACTGTGAATATCGAAAGTAGGAATTGAAATTTTAACTTTTGAACGATTCCGGGAAAAACGAAAAGTTAGTCCCGGTTCCAATCGATACTCGATTCTCGATACCCAACCCTAGTCATGTTGCTCTCTCTCTCTCTCTCTCTCTCGCCCTCTCTGCACGTCGGTTAAATGAACAACAACAAACAAAATGTTGAGTGCCGATCAAGAGTTTTGTGCAAGCAATTTAAGGTTGGGAGTCGTGACTCTTGTAACGAGTTACTTTTACTATACAGTAATTGAGATACTAACTCAGTTACTTTTTGGAAAAAGTAGTGAGTAACTATAATTAATTACTTTTTTAAAGAAACGTTTCCCAACACTGCTTATTTAACCCATTAACTTGACATTAAAGACAGCACACTCCCCGCTTGATATAACAACATTATATCACTACAGATCCTACAAAACATGAGGGAGAATGTCATTTGACAGCAACATACTTAAAGGGTTAGTTCACCCAAAAATGAAAACACCCATTCTATACCATCACACACAGTGGAAACACACATGACAAATACATATAATAAATACATATACATAATAACCTACATCCATATATGCAATCAATTAAATACTGAAACTCATTGATGAATTTTAAGTAATGATGCCTAAACTAATGTGGCAGTGTCACAGGCTCACTATTGGCCGACGCTGGTCATGTGTGTGATGCGCGTGACGTACAACAACACAAGCGTACGCTGTTAAACTCACTCGAGGCCCAGAGAGAAGGAAATCAATAATTGAAATAAAGTCGTTTGTTTGTTTTTGCGCACAAAAAGTGTTCTCGTCGTTTGATAAACGTAAGATTGAGCCACTGTAGTCGCTCGGACTATTTTAACGAAGTCTTTAATAATTTTCGAGGCCGGCAAGTTCAAATCGCCCAAGAAGCCTATGGAGGAGTGATCCAGCTCTCAGATTTATATATATATATATATATAAAAATATCTTAATATGTGTTCCTAAGATGAACGAAGTCAACTGACAGAGTTTACATTTTTGGGTGAACTGTCCCTTTAAGAGTTCTTTCACTAAGTCTCTGAAAGCAGGACTACCGTTTCTGAGAAGCGTTTGTGACTCGCACTCAATGATCCAAGGTCCGGCAGTCAAATGATTATTATAAATGATTACAAAATTTATTAAAATAATCAAACGAAAAAGGATTACTTGTTACAGATTAGACCAGACCGATATATCGGCCAGCCGATATTATCGGCCGATATTAGGCATTTTCCAAAATATCGGTATCGGCAGCTATAATGGCCGATAAATGAATATTTAAAAAATAAAATAAAAACGGAAGAAACTCGCTTTAATCATCTCTCCTTGGCCTGTTATTTTGAAAATGTATGTTTTACAATTTGCACTATGATGTTATCCATTGCTAAATTATGGCTCATCATAGACTAGCCACAAAGCTAGCTAATGCCACTATCATCAGTGGAAGACCGCTAACGTTAACATTAATGAGCTTGGAAACCACAATGAACTTTTTCTGCCTAATTTAAGTAATTATTACTGTATTTATAACTAGCATATCTCTAGTTACAGTCCCTGCATTGTAAATTGTAAGTTATACTTGCGAGGAGTGAACATTTAGACATAGAGAAAAAGTATCAAACGTATCGCGTGCAGAAAAGTTAGCTTTTCTTTTACACGTGTGTGAAATCCAACAATATTTAATAAAAAAAAATATATCGGCCGATATATCGGATTTTAAAACCCAAAAATATTTGTATCGGTATCGGCCTTCAAAATCCTTTATCAATCGGGCTCTATTACAGATCATAAATGAGTATTAACTAACAGATAGATGCTAGCTAGGCTTGAAGCTTCTCGCCTCTGACAACTGCTGACGTGTCAAAGTGCAGAGAATTAATCTTTCTTTCTCTTTTTATAGTCTTTTTTTATGCTGACTTTTCTGTTCTTTCTAAGCGCACTTGATGCTTGCAAAACAAGACCATTGTCTCAGACATGAGGTATGTATAAAACAGCTGATGCATGTAGGCTACAAAATAGCTGATGCAGAGTAAATAAAAAGGATATTTCCTAATAGACAATAGCTGATTCAGAAAAGGAAAGGAAATCCCATGATTAAAGTTCATAGTAAATGTTGTATACATCATCAAGAGATATAAATTTCAAACCTTCAGAGCTTCCACTAGTTCAGACAAGGCTGTTGTTTGACCTCCCTCATTGTGTCTTTTCCGGCCCCTGGATGAGGACGGGGTCTTCATCATCTTCACTTCCTCCAGCCTGGCCTTCAATAATACTTAATATGGCCTTCTCTTGACTTGATTATGATCCAACTCATCATAATTCAATATTATTCAGTTGAAATTAATTTCATTGATTTTTTTCAAATTAATTAAGTGTCACTTGACTGTGAAAGACAATTAATCATTTCTTGTTGAAGGATATTCATGTTGATCCTCTGCTTTTTCTTATGAAATGTGCGTAGATATTTATAGGATCAGCCAAATGTGTTGTGGCCATGGATAAAAAAATAAGAAGCTTGAATCAAAAATTTATATAAACATGTAGAAATATATTGCACAAAAAATATGCAAAACGATCAGAATAGCAAACAACGTGGTCACGGATCAAAATATAATAAGCGTGAATAAAAAAATTACAAGCATTCATTTTCTGAACGGGAATCTACATTTATACAGTGAAGACTCTGCAGTGATAGTGACTATAATTTCTGTGGCCTACAGTACCTGAAAATCTACTTTAGAGTCATAACCTTATTTATTAATGTTACATGGATCAAGAAAAAATGTGTGTGTGTATGTAAAAATGTAAACCACTGGGCCGACCGGGCCAGAATAAAAAGCGTCGAGCCCTGATTATTACATTTTAACATTTCAATGCAAGTTCATCTTGAAACCATTTACCTGAAGAAATGCTAGCGTTCCTGTTTGACCTGTTTGCGGAGACACAACTCCAACCTCTCCAACACTGACTAGACACTTCTCATCCTCCTTTCTGTCAAACCAACTCTTCTCTCTCGACAAAAGCGATAAAGAATCAGCAATCAGTGGAGAATGAAGAGGAAAAACTCGTGAGACGTTTGCTTTTAACGAGAGAGCAGATCTCAGTGATTCACATTGAAATACAGTTTTGAAAGCATCATTCAGAAAGTGAAGTCTGAAACAGTGAACATGTCTTCAGCACACAATCTTAGTTATCTTCATTACAGCTGTACGATCAATATTTACAGTATGATCTGATATATTTAGTGGAGTCCAGTTGATTATTTCTGTGAATGACGAGCAGTGATCTGCTCCTGGATCGATGTGAAGAGATGATTGAAGTGAATGTGATGTGATTTCAGGCTCAAGCTGAGCACACAGAGCGTCAGATTAAACAGCAGTTCGAGAAGCTTCATCAGTTTCTCCGAGATGAAGAAGAAGCTACAGTCACTGCACTGAGGGAGGAAGAGGAGCAGAAGAAGCAGATGATGAAGGAGAAGCTGGAGGAGATGAACACACACATCTCTGCTCTTTCACACACACTCAAAGACATGGAGGAGATGATGAAAGCCAGTGACGTCTGCTTTCTGAAGGTCTGATTTCAGATCATTGGTTGATTGATTGAGTTCTTGATGATAATGGTGTGTTTGTTTTTGTTGTAAATGAACTTTTATTTCAGTCATAGAGGTTAAACGATCATTTGTTTGTTGAAATAATCCACAAAAGTGTTGATGAAATATAAATGCTTAGTATAGAAATACTTGATACCCATAAAGGCTAGATGTGTTCTCTATCGTCATCACCATCTTCTGTGTTCCTGAGGTAAGATGAGTGATCAGCACCAACACAAATACTCTTACCGCGCTGAAATCTGGACGGATTTACAAACGGTTTAGTTTCTTACAAACATTATTAACGTGGTTGTTATTCTGGATGATTATTCATAAGTATGCAGGGTCATAACTACATCTCTGACGTTTATAACAAACCAAACCGTTTGAAAATCGGTAGAAAATTGAGCATGTTATGGTTATTTAAAAAGTGCATGCGCCATTAAAACACGAGGTTACGAGTGAGCGAGCTGACTGTGGCAAGATGGCCGCCCGTGCGGACGTCGACCTCCATTGGCCAGCAGCGCGGACGAAAGCCTTTATAATGGAGATCTATGCTTGATTCAGCATGTATAAACCCCTCAGAATAAAGACTTAAGCTTCAGAAATTAAAACACGTAACGCAGCATTTCAAACACAAGTTGAAGTTTCCCTGTTGCTGTATGTTTGTACTCTCTTACTGTTGGATTTACTCATTTACTCAGTTGGAGAGTCTCTGAACTGTCTTCCTATGTTGGTTTGGTGGTTAGAGCCGCAGTATTGCTGTTTAAGAGCCTGCTTACTGTGAACTGATGTGTCCTTTCTTTCATTTCAGAGTGGAAGAAGTTAGAAAACTGTATGAATCACTTATTCTAAGTCTAGAAATAAATAGATTCATTTAATAATGTAAAACCAGTCCTCGGTGTCCGTGAGCAGCGGGACTTCAGTGTAGCTTTACTGACATCTAGAGGTCATATTGAGCATCTGACTGTAAACCTCAACGATAGAAACGACAGAGCAAACACTGAGTCGTGTATTCTATGGGGGTGTACTTGTAGAGTTACTGGGCTTCTTCCCTCACACGGGCTTATCGAGCAGACGAGGGAATAATGTGGAAAACTATGGCGTATATAATAGCGACGAGGCGCGCTCGTTTGTACAGGCGCGCAAGTTCATTGTTGCATAGCAACGACAGCCGCCGAGCAGCGAGCACGCGCTTGTGAAAGGAGAAAGACGACGAGGCTCTCCATGATGATGATGATGATGAGGAAGTATTAGCAAAGAATTCGTTGATTTCTAGCCCTTGCATTGGCTTTACTTCTAGATATATTTATGGAGATGAGAAATAAAAAACCGGCTGAAATGCGTCACTGTCGGCATCGGTGAACAGAGGATGGGCAGATGCTCTTGCTTAAAAGTGAAAGCAACTTTTGATGGACAAAAATAAATGATTCCCTCAAAAAGTGCCCAAAATGCACAGATTTTGCATGTCTAGTGTGAAACCATAAAACCAAAATAAGAAGATGTCAGGCTCTGTTCTGCTGCGTCCCAATTCGCATACTATCCGTCCTAAATAGTATTCGAAAATAGAATTAGTACGTCCCAAATCGTAGTATGTTGAAATGAGTGTAAAGATACCCGGATGGTCTACTTTTTCCGGTCAGAATCCGAAGTGTAGATCGATGCACAGTCTAACGGCTGATATTGCCCACAAACCATTGAACTTTTGTAAAGACACGTTTAGCCACGTTTTAAATGCATCATTATATTCAAATTGCAAACACGAGGAGGGCATGAAAGACCCACAACTGGCAGATGAACGTGCTCTCCGAAACGGTAGGAAATAAAATTAGATAGAATGGAGGATTTAAACTGTGACAAGATGATTGACAGGGCAGTTTACGGTGACAGGATGATTGACAGGGCAGTTTACGGTGACAGGATGCACGCAGCACGCGACAGAGCTGTCCGTTAAAGATGACGTGATAGTATGTCCCAAAGCTTGCCTACTCTTTTGCTACACACTCAAAAGTATGTACTTTTTCCTCACAAAATGAGTACATACTTTTAGGGCGTAGTATAAGTAAGCGAATTGGGACGCAGCATTCGTCTTCATGACGGTTCTGTAGGAAGCGCTGTACATGATTGTCTGATGAGCGCCAAATCATCTCAACTTCCTGTCAGCCATTTTGATTTTCTTTCAAAAGATTTTTGGTAACACTTTAGAATACGGTTCCTTCGTTAATGAATAACTACACAAGAACTAATGAGTAACACAATATTAACAATCTAGTAACTATTATTAACTAACAAGAAACTCTGATTAACGAACTAGTAAGTAATAGCGCACAGACGAAAGTGGTAGTTCACTATTAAGTAATCAATAACTACTATTTTTTTAATTCTTCCCAGAGAACTACTGAAAAAGTTTATTAACAATCTAGTAACTACTATTAACTAAAATAAACTCTTATTAACGAATTAGTAAGTAATAGTTCACAGATGAAAGTGTTACTAGATACTTCTGTGGGAATTACTAATTATTTGGATTCGTATTATAAAGTGAAGATCATTGGAACTAACTAGTAATTACTCAAGTGTTACTACATGATCTAGTCATGATTTGTGCAAATGTTTGAGATTTTTGGTGAACTTTAGTATACTTTTAGAAAATGTCTTTAGTAACACTTGAGTAATTACTAGTTAGTTCCCATGATCTTCACTTTATAATACGGATCCAAATAATTAGTAATTAATAGCTCATAGATGAAAGTGTTACTAGATACTTCTGTGGGAATTACTAATTATTTGGATCCGTATTATAAAGTGAAGATCATTGGAACTAACTAGTAATGACTCAAGTGTTACTACATGATCTAGTCATGATTTGTGCAAATGTTTGAGATTTTTTGGTGAACTTTAGTAACTTTTAGAAAATGTCTTTAGTAATACTTTAGTAATTACTAGTTAGTTCCAATGATCTTCACTTTATAATACGAATCCAAATAATTAGTAATTCCCACAGAAGTATCTAGTAACACTTTCATCTGTGAGCTATTACTTACTAATTCGTTAATAAGAGTTTATTTTAGTTAATAGTAGTTACTAGATTGTTAATAAACTTTTTCAGTAGTTCTCTGGGAAGTATTAAAAAAATAGTAGTTATTGATTACTTAATAGTGAACTACCACTTTCGTCTGTGCGCTATTACTTACTAGTTCGTTAATCAGAGTTTCTTGTTAGTTAATAATAGTTACTAGATTGTTAATATTGTGTTACTCATTAGTTCTTGTGTAGTTATTCATTAACGAAGGAACCGTATTCTAAAGTGTTACCAGATTTTTTAACTTTTTTAACCTAGACAGATTTTCACCAAATTTGGCAAATTCACCACGTGTCAAAAGACAAAACCTTTTCCTAAACCGCATTAATAAATGTGATAACTGCATCTGAGGCTGGATCTGTATCTGTATTTATACGCTTTCAACCATTTTTGTGCTTAAAACCCTGTAGCTCTAACCCTATTGATCTGCATTAGTAAAGATGATGGCTGTGATCAGTGGAGATGAATCAGAGACGTGACCGGCAATCACAAACACATTTATTCATTGCTTCCAGTCATGAAGTTGGTCATCATGGCCTCTGAGGGCAACACAGATGAATGAAGCCTGTCTCGTGTGTGATTGGACGGTGTGTGATGGGTGGAGTGAGAGAGAGCATTAAAGAGAGAGAGAGAGTGATCGGACACACACTCTTCAGGAATGGACTCTGCATTGATCACGCTTCTGCTCTCAGGTACACGTGTGTGTGTGTGTGTGTGTGTGTGCTTCTTTATTCACACACTGCGGTTTCTGAGAGTCTTCTGCTCACCAAACTTACATTTATTTGATCAAAAATACAGTGAGATATCATTAAAACCAGTACAGAAATAACTCTAGAATGCTGATTCTGATTAAATTGAAAGCAATAGTGGAGCTTCAGATTTGTGTGTAAACTGACTCGTTTTATTCTTCATGATTCCCAGACAGCAAACTGACATTGAATCAACGTGGAAACGACGTCTCTCATGACATCGAAACAACGTTGATTTTGCTCATCGAATTAACGCTGAACCAACGTCAGACGCGGCATTCTTCAAAGCTAAATGAAAATCGAAAATTGGTTTGCTTTCATAACGTTGAAACAACGCGTTGATTTTAAGTTGATTTTCCGTTAGTTTTGAAAGAATGACGCATCTGACGTTGGTTCAACATTAATTCGATGAGCAAAGCAATGTCAGATCAACGTTGTTTCGATGTCATGTTTCCACGTTGATTCAATGTCAGTTTGCTATCTCGGTTGTTGGGTGTAATATATAAAATACTTTCAATACATCAGTCACTCTGATGTATTGAACGTGTGGTGGTCTGAATGAGCTCTTGCCGTTCGCAGCCGTCTTCCGCTCGGCGTCTCCGCGTCAGTATGAGTTTGTGCAGAGGTCCGTGAACTGCAGCGAAGCGCAGCGATACTGCCGGCAGAACTACCGCGATCTGGCCAGCGTTAGCGACAGCGCAGACCTGAGCAATCTACTGAAGATCACAGATCGACGCTTCTGGATCGGACTGCTGAAGACCGGCGGCGGGGAGTGGAGATGGGCACACTACACACTACACCCCTCACTGTACCGCAACTGGGCGGCGAACCAGACCAACGCAAGCCTAGACTGCGCCTACATGGACCGGGACGGGCGGTGGCGTATTGACGACTGCACAGCGCAGCGGTCCTTCATCTGCTACAGCGGTGAGAGTCTCTCAAACCATTATCACCAAACTTTCACCCAATATTGGATTCGATACTCTGTTTTCTTGTTCTCTTGCGATTAGCACAGGTTTTGTGTTTCTTTGCTGATCTGACTAAGGACTCATTGAGCCACGCTTTTTTAAATGAAAAGAGTTCAATCAGCTTATTCTCCTAATGATGAAGCCGAGGGTCAGTCAAATCCAACATCTGTGCTAATTGAAAGAAAAAGATCAAACCCAATGTTGGATGATGATAAAGCCTAATGCTACGTTCACACCGCGTGTCAAATTCGCGCCTGACGCGTCTAGTTCGACGCTTGACCACTTTGTGTTAATTCGCGTGTCAAGAGTGAAACTGACACTCATAAAAACAAGTTTGAAGCGAAATTTACGCGCGTGACGCGCGTCAGAATCGAAATCCGTTGGCGGCCATTGTTTTTATGTCGACCGAGCATTCATCAAGAGAGTTATCGCTCTATATTTACTCTGGAGAGCAGAACAGCGGCGTGGGGATCATCGTCGCCGTATATTTGTGTCCACCGGACCCTTCGGAGCCGAACCGTTTGGCGAGTTTCACCATTTGCTCGCTCCAGGAGCTGCGCTGGATGACGGCCGCTGTCAGCGGTACTTCCGCCTGTCCCGCGCCCAGTTTGATGACATGTTGTCCCGTATCGGAGTGAGGATCACCCTCGCCCTCATCCATCTAATCTAGCTGTCATTTATTTATGTCATTTTTTACGCGACTTTAACACGCCCGCAAAGCATCCCGGGAAGGCGGCGCTTCATTTGGAAAAATGCTGCGCGTCAAAAAGCTGGCCGATGCCCATCTTTATGCAAATGAATTCCGTTGAATGTGCCGCGACTATCCAATAGAAGTAGAGCATATGGAGACGGGGGGAAGTCTCTCGCAGGTCCTCTGCCTTAGACTGGCCGCTGGACCAAAACCACGCTCATAGCGGTAAACTTGAGGAACGCCCATCAAAGTACAAATGTGGGGAGGCGTCGCGACAACACGCGACTGTCGTGTCGGACAAGTGGATCTCTAGCGTTAATCATTCGCGCGTAACGTGCCAGACGCTCAATTCGCGCCAACGAGGCGTATTCGCATCTTCCGCGGCGCGCTCCACGCCTCATTCGCGCCGCAGGAATTTTTTACGCACGTAACTCGTCTTTGCGTTGACTTAACATTGAAATCATTCGCGCCTGACGTGCTATTCGCGTCCGGTGTGAACGTACCATAACAAGAGATTTAAAAGGCGGGTCACGTTTGACCCGGAGCACTAATGAGGGTTTTCTCTGGGCCTGCAGACACCAGTGAGGGCTTCGTGCCTGTGCTGCAGACGAGGAGCTGGAGATCCGCTCAGAGCTTCTGTAGAGCGAACCACTCTGACCTGGCCAGCGTGAGGAACCAGAAGGAGAATCAGCAGATCCAGCAGCTCGTGAACGCCAGCGGGGCCAGTTCAGTCTGGATCGGCCTGTTCAGAGACGCTTGGGAATGGTCCGATGAGAGTCCCTCGTCGTTCAGAAACTGGGCATCTGATGAACCCAACGGAGCGCCTGAAGACGCCACAGTGATGGTGGTCGGTGGACAGAGAAGGGGACAGTGGGAGGACTGGCCTTGCGACTCGCTGTTCCCGTTCGTCTGTCATTATGAAGGCGAGTCCGATAAGTCAGATAAGAGAACGCCATCATTTGGGCTTGGTTAGAAATCGTGCCGTTGATTCTCAAAGCTCAATTATTTTCGAATATTACTAAACATCCAGAAATCACAATCAACTCTGAGAGTTTTGATATGAAACGAAGTGTTCACATTCTGTCAGTTTGGTCACTTTACTGCCTCTTTAGTTACAGCACCAGATAAACATGAATGAACATCAGAAGGAATGTACGAATGATCTAGAGTTGAACTTGTGTGTCAATGCTCTTCTAGATCAGTTCACCCTCATCAAGCAGAACCTGAGCTGGGCTGAAGCCATGACGTACTGCCGACGGAGGCACGTGGATCTGGTGTCGGTCACCAGCGAGGAGATGGAGCGGCGCGTGCGGACCGTGGCCAGGAACGCCTCCACGCCGGCCGTGTGGTTGGGTCTGCATCACTTCTGCGCCATGAACATGTGGCTGTGGCTGCGGGGCGAGGCGGTGTGCTACCAGAACTGGGCGGCGGGCGACGGCACCGAGCCACGAGACTGCAGCCGCGAGCGGAGAGTCGGAGCCATGCGGACGGCAGGAGACCAGCGCTGGGTTAGCCTTCCTCCAGCTCGCGCGCTCAACTTCATCTGCTCCAACTACGAGGACTGAGGGCCTACACGCGAAATACATGGAGTTTAGTTCCAGCTGCGCTCCGTGGCTCCGGCGGCTCTCTAATGGGTCTCTTATGAGTCAAACGTGTAAACCTGTCACGTGTTGTCTAACTCCAATTGAGTTTGTAATGTCTTTAAATGCTAATGCATCTTCTTCGTTATCTACATGTATATTAAAATCACCAACAATTAGTACATTATCTACAGCCAACAGACCCAGCAAACAAATTTAGGTTCTGGGAACGTTAGTTTTTGGTTACGTTATAAAAATGGAACCTAAAAATAACCTACATGGAACGTTCTTGTTTGGTTCCCAAAAAAATAACCTCATGGGACCATTCGGGAACGTTAGAGGAACGTTCTGCGTTTGCTAAGTGTGTATGGTGGCCTGTAAACCGTAGCCAGCACACATCTCAAGCGGGATTAGCCTACCTCTAAGCATTATGGGAAATCTTTTTCTAATGAACTAAACATTATTAATATTGTTACTTTGATTAATTCCCAATGATTTATAAATGCTGTTTTTTGTGCTACTGTTTTGAGAACTCTATTAAAGACCAGATTTGGACATTAAGAGCGTTTGTTCATAAGTGTTCAGAGTTGAATTGCTTGTGAAGTGTTGGGCCTGTTTCTCAGAGATTTGTGTTTTGCGGAGGCTGCACAGATATGGGTGAATATGATGGTGTTGGGGATCAAATTAAACTCCATTGGTTTCCATGCAATTTGCTAAAGATCAACACTGAAAACCAGCAAAGATCCAGGTAAGAAAAGAGAACCTTTATTGAAGCTTGTCTTGCTGAAGCAGAAGGAGACTTTGGGGCTGAACTATGGTGTAATAATGTGTCCAATATATGATAATACTCATGAACATGTATTCAAGATATTTAAGTCATCCATGATTGAGTCGTGTACAGATGTTGGTGCAATGATGACTCTAAAGCTCAGGTTGGTGGAGGTGTGTTGGACCAGTGCTGATAGAAACTCTATGATTGATGGCTGTCTCTTTGTCATTTGCTCTGTATGGTGTAAATATCCAGAGTTCAGGTCTAGTGAAGAGGAAGAATCAGACCGCAGGATTCAGCAGAAATGAGTTCAGGTTTACAGCGTTTTCATTCATGCTTGACAATCCAATCATTTGCATATCTCCTTTACATCAGATTCCAATGAATGAGTCTTTGTTTGCGCTTTTCCTTCAGCTGTCATCAGCACTTAATCCACGATTGAGAGATTTAAGCACGATGTTGTGTGCTGTGCTTTAGGCTACGTCCACATTAATCGGATGCATTTGAAAATGGTGTTTTCGTTTAATAATGCTCTCAGTGTGGATGAGAAACTTCTAAATCCACCTCACTGAAGCTCACGAGATGATGCCGATGGAAAAATAAATAATTTAGCTTCTCCGTGAGAGATCCGAGACCGGTGCGTCGCTCATCATCACTCACGCCGTCCTCCTCTCGTGGGCCTCGGCCTCGTCCCGCTCGCCACGGACAGTTCAGACAAAGATCAAGCTTCGGCCATCATTTACTCGCCCCCGAGTTGTTCCAAATCTCTATGAATTTCTGTCTTCTGATGAACACGAATAAGGACGGTCAGTGGTCAGTGGGGTCCATCAATGGTTCGGTCACGGCTGGAAGAGCTGCATTGGAGATCTGTGCCGATGGAAGACAAGCAGATGTCAGGATTTCCCTGTTATGCATAATCATAATGATATTTTAATTTATGAAATGAAGCCTGAAACAGCTGCAAGTATAGCCGCCGAGTGAACAGACAGATCTAATCAGCCTGACTTCTGTCTTCTTCTTCCTCTTCGGTCTATGAGGGTACAGGGGTTGGGGTGGAGAGAAATCCTGGTTCTCCACACACATCTGTTTTAATGTACACTCCATGTGTGTGTGAGTGTGTTTCTTGGACAACAGCCTAGAAAGGGTCCGTCTTTCTTTGTTTAAGAAGAAAACAAACTTTTCATTCTATAGGAATGTAATGTATATAGTCATTGGTCGGCTGTTACACCCTCTTGAACCCTGAGTAAATGCTGATGTTTGTAGGTGAAAGTAGAGAAGGTTGGTGAACAGCAACTGCTTCATGTTCCTCTTCCAGACCTGTAATTCTTTTCAATCCATGAACAAGGAACAACAAATAGAGGTCAAATATTCAAACAGGAACTTTTCATGCATCCACACTGTGATGTGTGTTGAAGACCCACAAAACCACCGTTTTTGACTAATAGATCTTTATCATGCGTTCATCAACAAACATTGAGGCCAAGTTGAGAGTCTTATTGTCATGGAATGGGTAAAACAGAGAGCAAGTGCAGGAAGGACATTTATTAAACAAACCAAAACCACAGAGATAACAAACCAGCACTGCAAACACACAACTAAACAAGGGCGTTACGAACAACAGGAGGAGAGGAATAATCAATTCTCAGGTAACGACTATTGACCAGAGAGCACATGCACAGCTCACTATAAACCAGACTAACACAAACACAGGACTAACCAGGAATCAGAGTTCTGCCACCAACAGAAATATAATCCAGACCGACGTGACAGAACCCTGACACTTATGAGACTAATAAATCCATGTATTCACAGATGATCCCACAGTAGCTCACGAATCTCAAGCTGTTTGGCGGACATCTCTCTCGGCATGGATGAAGAAACATCACCTGACGGAGCTCCTCATCCTCTCTGATGACCCGTCTCCACAGCATCACTTCACTATCCAGCTAGAGTCTAACTCAATCACCCCTTCAAGGTCAGTCAGCATCCATCCATCCATCATCCACCCATCCATCCATCCATCCATCCATCCATCATCCACCCATCCATCCATCCATCCATCATCCATCCATCCATCCTCCATCCATCCATCATCCATCCACCCACCCACCCATCCATCCATCCATCCATCCATCATCCATCCATCATCCACCCATCATCCATCATCCATCCATCCATCATCCATCCATCCATCCATCATCCACCCATCCATCCATCATCCACCCATCCATCCATCATCCACCCACCCACCCATCCATCCATCCATCCATCATCCATCCATCCATCATCCATCCATCATCCACCCATCCATCCATCATCCACCACCCACCCATCCATCCATCCATCCATCATCCATCATCCATCCATCCATCATCCATCATCCATCCATCCATCATCCATCATCCATCCATCCATCATCCATCCATCATCCATCCATCATCCATCCATCCATCATCCATCCATCCATCCTCCATCCATCCATTATCCATCATCCACCCATCCATCCATCCATCATCCATCCATTCATCCATCCATCCATCCATCCATCCATCCATCATCCACCCACCCACCCATCCATCCATCCATCCATCCATCCATCCATCCATCATCCATCCATCCATCATCCATCCATCATCCACCCATCCATCCATCATCCACCCACCCACCCACCCATCCATCCATCCATCCATCATCCATCATCCATCCATCCATCATCCATCCATCCATCATCCATCATCCATCCATCCATCATCCATCCATCATCCACCCATCCATCCATCCATCCATCCATCATCCATCCATCCATCCTCCATCCATCCATCATCCATCATCCACCCATCCATCCATCCATCATCCATCCATTCATCCATCCATCCATCCATCCATCCATCCATCCATCATCCACCCACCCACCCATCCATCCATCCATCCATCCATCCATCCATCATCCATCCATCATCCACCCATCATCCATCATCCATCCATCCATCATCCATCCATCCATCCATCATCCACCCATCCATCCATCATCCACCCATCCATCCATCATCCACCCATCCATCCATCATCCACCCACCCACCCATCCATCCATCCATCCATCATCCATCATCCATCCATCCATCATCCATCCATCATCCACCCATCCATCCATCATCCACCCACCCACCCATCCATCCATCCATCCATCATCCATCATCCATCCATCCATCCATCATCCATCCATCCATCATCCATCATCCATCCATCCATCATCCATCCATCCATCCATCCATCATCCACCCATCCATCCATCCATCATCCATCCATCCATCCATCATCCACCCATCCATCATCCATCCATCCATCATCCATCCATCCATCCATCAGACTCTGGTTATGCTTCAGCTAAGCTGAGTATCGTCACTGTCTGGATCTGCAATCTGTAACACTATTTCACTTACCACATGTCTGACTCCTCTTCTGTCCGTGACAATACTTTACATTCATAAAATAATTATTTATCAAGATATTTCAATAGTAAGAAAGGCATTAGAACATATCCAGAAGTCCTATTATTCACTTTTGTAATCTAACTTTAGTCAGACTCGGGATCAGACCCTCACATCGCCAGCGAGAATAGAAATAAATAGAATGGCAAAGCACTTTTCTTAGCATACGTGCCAATATCAACTAATTATAAAACAAACCCAATGAAAGGCTATTAAAATAATGCTCGATATTGATTTGATTAACATAGAAAGTTACTTTTAGATGCCTGCACATGATTAAATAACACCACTTTATGAAACCACACACAACAGATTCATAACAAAAACGAACACACTTATTTCCAGCATATTTCTATTACTCGGTTATTCCACAAGAGGGCGCTGGCAGTCCATAGTCATTGAATGTCAACTCTCAATAAGAAAACAATTTTAATCTAAATCTGTTTTATTAAATACATAACAAATAATATTATATTAAATATAATAATATATTAAATTATTGCATTGTTACAAAGTGCTTGTTTGACCCCAAAGGAGTTTAATCATCATAAGTATTATTTACATCAGTGCCCAGTCGTGGAGATTCCTGGTCTATTCCTTGGATCTGGTCTTCAAGCGCTGATCTCGTATCTCGGTCTGCTCACTGCACTCAAAGATAGACACCCCACCGATGCATTCGCCATTACAGCAGGTAACTGTCATTTCTGGAGTGAAAATAGTGTAAACGCGATGCGCGAGACCATGCTAGGGATGCTAGAGCTAGTAGCGGATGTTTTGAAAGTTTTTGAGGCTGAAGACTGAGATCAGAGGAGTGAGGTTTGTTACACGCGCGATGGCTTTTATCCGAACTGGCCGCCATGCCAGATCACACATATGCTTGCCTGTTCAGATTACAGTGCTTTCTGAAGGTTAATACGATTATAAGAGGTTGTTGATATAGATGACACATGACTATTTCACGATATTCTCTTTAAATGTGTTAGATGTCAAGTTAAGTTGTCAACTGCTTCAAATAAATACCTCAGGTTTTGTTCATTTTCTTTTAATAGGGTTGATAAATAAGCAGATCTAGCCGTTTTAAGGTCTCTCTGTAAGCGGTCGAGCTCTCCTTCCATGAAATACGAAATACCTCTAGTTTAGGTCCTCATTTATCTGGCTGTTCTCTTCAGGGTCTGAGTGTGTGTGTGTGTGTGTGTGTGCTCGTTGTACCACGGTGTCGGACTATTTTTCTTTAATGTTGTTTAAGCACAAAGGAGCACCTGTGCTGGAAAAGAGAGAGTTAAAGTCTGGATATGGAGTTCTTCTGAGCTATCCGGGATGCGGAGACGATGATGAAACGAGTCCCTGGAGTTGGTTAACACTCATTATCTTTATTAGCTTCACTTTTAAAACCAGCGTCAGTCATGGTGACAGTGAAATAACGAGCTGTCACACACCATGTTTTTCTTTTCTTTTTAACGTAAGAACGGCGCGGGAACTTAAATCTGTGAGGATTTGGATTTCATCGCTTCAGTGACCAAAACATCCTGATTCGGCTTGATATTTCAAACTAGAGTTTATTATCAAATCAAATTAATTTAATTTACTCTCATAATCATGAAAAATGGACAGCAGTATCCATTAGCATGCAGCGTGTGTGTGTGTGTGTGTGTGTGTGTGTGTGTTACACAGGTCTGCCAGCAGAGGGAGTCACACACTAGCTCACCACTGCTGTCTCTCAGTGAATACTGATGTATGCGAGAGAGAGTTTGTGTGTGTGATTGAGTGTGTGTGTGTGTGTGTGTGTGTGTGTGTGAGAGAGAGAGAGAGAGAGAGAGAGAGAGAGAGAGAGAGTAGGCCTATGTCTTGTGTCTGTGAGAGAGAGAGAGTGGGCGCGCGCGCGCGACAGATCTGTTCTCTGTTCTCTGATCGTGTGTGTGTGTGTGTGTGTGTGAGAGAGAGAGAGAGAGAGAGAGAGAGAGAGTGTGGGCGCGCGCGCGACAGATCTGTTCTCTGTTCTCTGATCGGGTGCGCGCGTGTGTGTGTGTGTGTGTTTGGCGCAGTCACACAGATGCAGCGTGTGTGTCCTGACAGCAGCATGTGAGCGTGTGTGTGTGTGTGTGTGTGTGAGCAGGTGTTTTCAGGAGGAGGGACACACACTCCCTCTAAAAGAGCAGCATCACGGAGGCGGCCGGAGTATTCGCGTTTTTCTTTCGTTTTTTGTTCTTCTTCTTCCTCATCGTGATCGTTGGAGGTGCTTTTTCTTTTCATTTGCTCGCTCTGTCCATCATCTGCCTGCTCGTCTATTTCTCCATCTATCTCATCTATAATTTCTTTGGGTTGTGACTGAGTGTGTTCTTACCTTCTTCCTTTTCTCCTCCTCTTCATCATCATCATCATCATCCCGCGGCTGGTGTGTTTGACAGTAGGTAGGTTGATTTGCGTCCACTGTACTGTGTGTGCGCGCGCGCGTGTGTGTGCGTGTGCAAACCCCACACGAACACACACCCATAGATGTGACGTAAAGAGTGTGTTTCACCTTAGTCAGCTGTGTGTGTGTATCTGTGGGTCATCACACACATTATATATCAGAAATAATACACTCTCTCTCTCTCTCTCTCCATTCTACTGGTCTCTCACCTGTGTGTGTGTGTGTGTGTGTGTGCAGTCCTTCATAATCCCACATACCCCGTGATTTCTCCATCTTTCATTCATTGATCTGCTGCTCTTTCTGGTATTACGCGGTTATTCACGCGCCAGCGCTCATCGTCATCAGTGTGTGTGTGATTAATCTGTTCATTAATAGAGAGAGCACATAAAGTTGCATTGGTGCTGTGTGTGTGTGTGTGTCACCCCTCCACCTCCATGATCCGCCGTATCTGAGGCTGCACGAGACTCTTCTCTTCTCTTTCTCTTCTGAGGAGACTCTCTTCATTCATGAGTCTGGGCTCCGGCGCTTCTCCAGATGCGCAAACACACACGCCTGTTTCTGCTCTTTTACAATGGACTAAATGCGAAGTGAAGCCGATTCAGCTCAGGTGAATGTGAACGGGGCGCCGGAGGACGGGAGCGCGCACACTGTTCGGTGAGTGAGTGAGTGAGTGAGTGCGCGCGCGAGAGAGAGAGTTTGTGTGTGAGTGTGTGTGTGTGAGTGAGTGAGTGAGAAGAACACACACTCCTGATTCTGTTCTAGACGCTTCTCTAAATCTACAGCTGTGTGTTTATTTGGTAATTGGTCTTTTTGCGCTCATCCTGCAGGATTCACTCATGATCATATATATCTCAGTTTCTCTACACTGAGACAAAATATGATCAGTACATCATGGCAACATGTTTTCCCCTTACTTTAACTCATCAAAATAAAGTAATATTTCAACTTGAAGTCATACAAGATTCAACTCTTTGTTAACTGGCAGTGCCTTTCCCCATCACATATTTTAGTCATCACATCGTAAATTAGGTCAAAAATCCTTTAAAAGTTTAAACACTCGAACATCATCCTGCGAAAACTGATCTGAGTTTACGTAACTTTAAATCCTTTCAAATCCTTTTGCAAAATCAATATTTGTTACACAGATTTATGGTTGAACATTTGGCTTTGATTTATTGTTTTATAGTCGAAATCATTTTGCATAAAATAAAAGAACAATGTTTAGTTCAGAAAAAAGAAAGTGTTTTAAAAGAGATCTGTTTAACCTTTTGTTTTAATTCATTTAAGCAGCTCGTTAAAAATACTTGAAATAACCAATAAACATGAGAGTATAATGCAGTGATTTCTCCTCTGTGTTCATAACCCTGAGCTCTGTTCCCCAGGGGACAATGTTAAAGGACTGACGCCAACGACTTGATCAAGGCTAGATATAAACAAATAAACAAAGATAGAACTGTTTTCAACATTATGATATTAATCATAAATATTTCAAATCCTCATGCGACACTGGAGACTGGAGTAATGATGATAAATTCAGCTTTGATCGCAGGAATAAATTACACTTTACTGTATATTCACACAGAAAACAGCTGATTTACACTGGAATAATATTACACTGTTTTTACTGTATTTCTGATCAAATAAATGCATCCTTTGATGGAATATATTTAATAAGGTCACATGTTGTACATTACAGCAGCAGAGAACTGAGATTAATCAAACTAGAATTACGTATTGCATTCACCTGAAGAAAAAAATCTACTCTGTTTTCCTGAATTAATGAGTTAATTATCTCAAAATTACAAGATAATTTTTCATGGAATTTTTTTTGCTCTGTTTCTCTGAATTAATGACTTGATTGTCTCAAGTTAATTCAGAAAAACAGACCAAAACTTTTTTTCATGGAAAAACAGAATAGATTTGTTTCCTCAAGTGAATGCAATACGCGACTCGATTGGGTTCTATTTATAACTCTAGAGTTCTAGACTCACTTTTAAAGAACGCTTTATGCCAAATAAGGAGAAATGTCTTACATATTTGCACCATACTTTAATTTTTTCTAGTGATAAATTATGTTTGTGAGCTGCTTATTTCATAACATTTAATTTAAAACTAAAAAACATTTAAAACAAAATTCAAACTAAATGCATAAAACGATGCCATGATGAGGTTCTGTATATGAAGTGCCTGACAGAACCAGTTGATACTCTTCTAAGAGTGTTTCTTTTTAAGAGTGGCAGACGTTCCACATGACGAACATTCTCACGTGAAACGTCTGTCGTTTGGAACGTCTGGAAGAAAAGTTCTATATGGAACCTCAAATGGTTCTGTTGAAGTTATGTTGTTTGGAACGTCTGTCTTGTGGAAGGTCTTTTGTGTGGAACGTTTGTCATTTGAAACCCTTAAAAGGTTCTGTATATGAAGCCCCTGCCAGAACCATTTGAAGTTCCATATAGAGCCTTTTCTTCTAAGAGTGTTTCTTATGTGGAAACTTCGTCATGTGGAACGTCTGGATGAAAAGTTCTATATGGAACCTCAAATGGTTCTGTTGTGTTTCTGTCGTTTGGTCGACGTCTGTCATTGGGAATATCTCTTCTGTGGGATGTTTGTCATGTGAAACCCCTGAAAAAGTTTCTGTATATAAAGCACCTGGCAGAACCCTTTATGGTTCCGTATAGAACCTTTTCTACTACGAGTGTTTCCTGTGTGAAACGTTTGTCATGTAGAACGTAGGTTGTGTTGTTAAACATCTGACGTGGGAAACGTCTGTCGTTTGGAACGTCTGGAAGAAAAGTTCTATCTAGAACCTCAAATGGTTCTGTTGAATATGTTGTTTGGTACGTCTGTCTTGTGGAATATCTCTCATGTGGAATGTCATGAGGAACGTTTGTCATGTGAAACCTCTGAAAGGTTCTGTATATAAAGCACCTGGCAGAACCCTTTATGGTTCCATATAGAACCTTTTCTAGTCCGAGTGTTTCCTTTGTGAAACGTTTGTCATGTGGAATGTCTGTTGTGTTGTTAAACGTCTGTTATCTGGAACTTCTGTCCTTTTTTAACGTCTTGAAGAAAAGGTTCTATATGGAACCTCAAATGGTTCTGTTGAATGTCTGTTGTTTGGAACGTCTGTCTTGTGGAATGTCTTTTGTGTGGAACGTTTGTCATTTGAAACCCTTAAAAGGTTCTGTATATGAAGCCCCTGCCAGAACCATTTGAAGTTCCATATAGAGCCTTTTCTTCTAAGAGTGTTTCTTATGTGGAAACTTCGTCATGTGGAACGTCTGGATGAAAAGTTCTATATGGAACCTCAAATGGTTCTGTTGTGTTTCTGTCGTTTGGTCGACATCTGTCATTGGGAATATCTCTTGTGTGGGACGTTTGTCATGTGAAACCCCTGAAAAAGTTTCTGTATATAAAGCACCTGGCAGAACCCTTTATGGTTCCGTATAGAACCTTTTCTACTACGAGTGTTTCCTGTGTGAAATGTTTGTCATGTAGAACGTAGGTTGTGTTGTTAAACATCTGACGTGGGAAACGTCTGTCGTTTGGAACGTCTGGAAGAAAAGTTCTATCTAGAACCTCAAATGGTTCTGTTGAATATGTTGTTTGGTACGTCTGTCTTGTGGAATATCTCTCATGTGGAATGTCATGAGAAACGTTTGTCATGTGAAACCTCTGAAAGGTTCTGTATATAAAGCACCTGGCAGAACCCTTTATGGTTCCATATAGAACCTTTTCTAGTCCGAGTGTTTCCTTTGTGAAACATTTGTCATGTGGAATGTCTGTTGTGTTGTTAAACGTCTGTTATCTGGAACTTCTGTCCTTTTTTAACGTCTGGAAGAAAAGGTTCTATATGGAACCTCAAATGATTCTGTTGAATGTCTGTTGTTTGGAACGTCTGTCTTGTGGAAGGTCTTTTGTGTGGAACGTTTGTCATTTGAAACCCTTAAAGGTTCTGTATATGAAGCCCCTGCCAGAACCATTTGAAGTTCCATATAGAGCCTTTTCTTCTAAGAGTGTTTCTTATGTGGAAACTTCGTCATGTGGAACGTCTGGATGAAAAGCTCTATATGGAACCTCAAATGGTTCTGTTGTGTTTCTGTCGTTTGGTCGACATCTGTCATTGGGAATATCTCTTGTGTGGGACGTTTGTCATGTGAAACCCCTGAAAAAGTTTCTGTATATAAAGCACCTGGCAGAACCCTTTATGGTTCCGTATAGTACCTTTTCTACTACGAGTGTTTCCTGTGTGAAATGTTTGTCATGTAGAACGTAGGTTGTGTTGTTAAACATCTGACGTGGGAAACGTCTGTCGTTTGGAACGTCTGGAAGAAAAGTTCTATCTAGAACCTCAAATGGTTCTGTTGAATATGTTGTTTGGTACGTCTGTCTTGTGGAATATCTCTCATGTGGAATGTCATGAGGAACGTTTGTCATGTGAAACCTCTGAAAGGTTCTGTATATAAAGCACCTGGCAGAACCCTTTATGGTTCCATATAGAACCTTTTCTAGTCCGAGTGTTTCCTTTGTGAAACGTTTGTCATGTGGAATGTCTGTTGTGTTGTTAAACGTCTGTTATCTGGAACTTCTGTCCTTTTTTAACGTCTGGAAGAAAAGGTTCTATATGGAACCTCAAATGATTCTGTTGAATGTCTGTTGTTTGGAACGTCTGTCTTGTGGAATGTCTTTTGTGTGGAACGTTTGTCATTTGAAACCCTTAAAAGGTTCTGTATATGAAGCCCCTGCCAGAACCATTTGAAGTTCCATATAGAGCCTTTTCTTCTAAGAGTGTTTCTTATGTGGAAACTTCGTCATGTGGAACGTCTGGATGAAAAGTTCTATATGGAACCTCAAATGGTTCTGTTGTGTTTCTGTCGTTTGGTCGACGTCTGTCATTGGGAATATCTCTTGTGTGGGACGTTTGTCATGTGAAACCCCTGAAAAAGTTTCTGTATATAAAGCACCTGGCAGAACCCTTTATGGTTCCGTATAGAACCGTTTCTACTACGAGTGTTTCCTGTGTGAAACATTTGTCATGTAGAACGTAGGTTGTGTTGTTAAACATCTGACGTGGGAAACGTCTGGAAGAAAAGTTCTATCTAGAACCTCAAATGGTTCTGTTGAAGTTATGTTGTTTGGTACGTCTGTCTTGTGGAATGTCTTTTGTGTGGAACGTTTGTCATTTGAAACCCTTAAAAGGTTCTGTATATGAAGCCCCTGCCAGAACCATTTGAAGTTCCATATAGAGCCTTTTCTTCTAAGAGTGTTTCTTATGTGGAAACTTCATCATGTGGAACGTCTGGATGAAAAGTTCTATATGAAACCTCAAATGGTTCTGTTGTATTTTTGTTGTTTGGTCGATGTCTGTCATTTGGAATATCTCTCGTGTGGAACATTTTTCTTGTCGAATATCTCTCGTGTGTAACATCTTTGGTGTGGGACGTTTGTCATGTGAAACCCCTGAAAATTTTCTGTGTATAAAGCACCTGGCAGAACCCTTTATGGTTCCGTATAGAACCGTTTCTACTACGAGTGTTTCCTGTGTGAAACGTTTGTCATGGAGAACGTCTGTTGTGTTGTTAAACATCTTACGTGGGAAACGTCTGTCGTTTGGAACGTCTGGAAGAAAAGTTCTATCTAGAACCTCAAATGGT